GAGCCAGAAGCTGCCACCACAAGGAGAACTGACTCAACCACCTTGGGTTTGAGCTGTCGCTCAAAGGAGAGCTGATTCGACCACTTAGGATTTGAGCTGTCACTCCAAAAACAGCTGACTCAACCACTTTGAAGCATTGAAAAAGGGCCATCATCACCATGGTCGTGTGCTTCTCGTCGTCATTGTCAACAGGACAACAACGCCTGATGACCCACCACTACTGAGGATCAAAGACAGAACTACAAACCTCGCTGGATCCATGGTGGTGACTATGTCCCTCTTGCTTCCTATAAAGACTCCTTGCTTCTTCTCTTCTATCTTTTCTATCGTCCCCCTTCCCTTCCCCATTATCCTAATTCATAATAGTGTCCGTCCTTCCCCATTTCCCTGATTAAGATTTGTAATAAACTGGTCGGACCAACATTTGAACCGTTGCTTCTTAATCTCACGCCGGGTATATGGATAATAAAAGAACCTCCTCTCCTCCTATAAATTGGAGCGAGACACCATGTTTCCACTTTCTTGATGTTCCATTTCATTTTATATCTCTAGTTTGTGTCTGACTAGAGAAAGTCCTGTACAACTTTACTTTTTAGTTTTTAAATAACAAAATGTAAAAATATAATACAAAAATATAAATAATAAATAATATATAAAAATATAATAGCAAAATATTTCTAGAAAGACTCAAGTTTAAGTTTATGTCTATCTCTGTATGTGTGTCTATGCATATATACAGAAATATGTACACATACATGTGCATGTACACACATGCATACACATCTTCACTCAGGTGAGTAGAAAACTCAGTGGAAGGACCAAAGTCTTAAACAAACAGATAAAGGAGGATTTGTCATACAATGCCTCCAGCAACTCACTCATAGAGTTAGGTATAAAGAAACTTGTCTGGCCCACTGCCTTAAGAGTAATAAATAAATTAAAAAAGAAAAAAAATAAAATTCCAGTTACTGAACTGATGAACAAAGAAGCCTGGAATAAAAAGAAGAATTAAAATGCCATTTCAGTGGCAATGTATCCTATAGAGAACAAAAGATGTCTGTTCTGTTGAAAAATGTTGTATAAACTATTTTGTAGTTTCATTACAGGTGCTGTTCAAAACCCATCTATGAGCAATGACAGGCTTTTCAGCTCACTTCAGGGGTTTCAGAACACAGCATATTTGCTGAATGAAGAGCAAAAAATACCCTTTTAATTTCTGTCTCTCATTAAATATTAGAAAGCTAGAACTGTGAGTGCCACCCTTGGTATTTCCTAGGATTTTTCTTTTAAGGCATACTTTTAATTATCTGTATATATGCCATAATATAATCATTCAGGTAGAAATCTCCCATGCTAGATGACTTCAGTTTCATTTTAACAAAAACAAATTATCACAAGTGCATATTTCCCATAGTATGAAAATGAATTCTTTTTTAAATTCTTAATTCTATTTTGGAAAGTCATAGAGATTCTGTTTCAGATTCTCTTTATTTCTCCTGTTGCTTTTACATTTTCTTGCTGCTGGACTCATCATTTTACCCAAAATCATAATCTCCAAGGAGCTGGGGAAGATGGACTGCAATGAAAATTATTTCATGACTCAACATGAAATTACCAGCCACTCTTCAGCAGGCAACTTTTGGAGTGGGGTCATTCTTCTAGGTAACTGATTTGAGCTTCAGTCTTCAGAAATCCATAGATTCAACATGAAGCTTGATTAAAGCCAACAATTGTTGCCTATTCTTCAAGCCATTCTAAGTTAGTGATTATTTTCCAAGCTCTTTGACAGAGTTGAAAAAAAACTAAAGGTAGAAATCTACCTCTATATTTGTAGTATGTATGCTAGACTTTTAGTGCTTAAGGTTGGTGCACAGAGAAACCTTGCTTGTGCTTCTTAATACCAATTATAGATTCTGCTGTACAGAAGCTGAACATACAAAAGCATTAAACGCATTATTTTAATAAGCAGGTACTTGAAATGTTTTTCAATCTCCTCCACTGCACCCCATATTTATAAATAGATTAGGCAATCACTTGAAACTGGAACAGGTAGGTCTACAAGATGTTTCAGGATCTTCAGAAACAGAAGGCAATTTTCCTGTTTCTGATTTTTACATGTCTTAGACTGAAGACGTAGCCAATTTTTTTATGCCTTATTCTTAAGAATAGTCATTGTATTGCAATGAAGAAAATAACCTCAAAGATGCGCTTTAAAAGAAAATTCCATATAGTGCATTGTCTTAGTTTGAGCTGGGATGGATTTTTCTTCAGAATATCTGATATGATGCTATATTTTTGGTTCTAGGAGAAAACCTTACTGATAACATGCCAGTGTTTACAGCTGCTGCAAAGCAGTGTTGTACAGAGCAGAGACCACCTGCAGTGAGGGTCCAGAGGAGCTGGCCAAAGTGATATTCCACACTGCATGACATCAAGCAGAAGGAGTTCTGAAGGGGGTGGGAGTTCATATCTCCCTTCCACTGCTTAGGGGCTAGCTGGGCATCTGTCAGGGGTAGTCAGCAATTATCGTGCTTGTTAAATAAATTCATATATATACATATATATATATGTATAGTCATAACTACTGCCTGTTTCCTATTCTCTTGGTAAACAGTTTTACCTCAACCCAGGAATTCTACTGCTTTTCTCCACAGTTCTGTTCCCTATCCCACCAGGAAGCAAAGGGTGAGTGAACAACTGTGTGGTGCTCAGCTACCTGTCAAGTTAAGCCACAAGATATGTGCAATGCTGCTCAGACATATGAAATACCTGTGCTAGATTGGTGAGTGGCAGAGTTGAAAAGGAAAGAAAGGGTACTTTGATTTAAACTTAGGTGAGAAGAAAGTAATTATGGGAGGGGAAAAAAAAAAAAAAAAAAAAAAAAAAAAGCCTGTCTTAGCTGTGATAAGACAAGAAGATTCTGACTTTCTATTGAGCTCAAAGCAGAAGTCACAGGTTGAAGTGTAATCAAAAATGACCTCCTAACTTTTTATTTCCCCCCCTTCTAGAGATGAAACTTCAATTGACAGTCTCAGAGCTTCAGATTATCTGATAGAGAAAAGCTGTCTCAAGCAGTGAGGACCACTAATCAAATATTGACAGATGAGATGTTCTAGAAGATAAAAATAGATTTAAAATCCAAAGTGACGCTTTTTTTTTTTTTTTTTTTTTATACGAGACTCATAGCCTAACTGTTAAAGTCAAGATGTAAGATAAATGATAACAGCCTAAGCCTTTCAATCCATTTATTACCTTTTCTAAATATAACGAATACAAGTTTCCTATTTAAGCCAAGGTCAAACCCCCACAAATTAACCAAAATAGCTTAATATTTTCTTCTAGTCTGATAAAAATACATCTGCTCACGATTCAAACCAGTTCTACTTGATTTAGAAAAGCTACAACTTTAAAGAATGTATATGGTAAATAGGATATACAGGTATAAATTGTCATACTTTCACTAGCATTTCACTAGTAAGTATTGATCAAATTCAAAACTTTGTTAAAATTTCACTTCAATTAACACATTAAATTTCATTGCCTGTAGTAATATGTTAAGTAGCAGGGAAGAAACTACAACTAAAACCAGAAAAAGCAACATCACCTAGTACCAAAAAGAAAGAAAGAAAGTGAATTATTTCCACTACAAATTAAATTGTAATATCGACCTAGCTTGAACTGAAGGGCAATACTTAGGTCATACCACCAGTGTACTGACTGGAGCCATATACGGTGGGAAAAAAAATAATGAAGCAGCACGTCTCCAGAAAGAACCCTGTTCCACTCCCGCTTTCCCTTCTCCCCTACCTCCACCTTCCTTCTCCTCTCCTTTCCCTCCCTCAAGAAAAAAAAAAATAATAATTGATGTACATGTTCTCCATCTAAAAATGGTGGATGGTTTTGACTGGTTTTTAATCAAAAAATAACTAACCAGCTATATTTAGCTTTGGTAAAGGCTAATCTTGAGTACTGTGCACTGTTCTGGGCTCCATAACACAAAAAGGACGTTAAGATACTTGAAAACATCCAGGGAAAAACCACAAAACTGGTAACAGGGCTGGAGGCAAGTTCTATAAGGAGAGGCTGAGGGTGTTTAAATTGCCCACTCCGGAGGCACCAACAGGTGACCTCACTGCTCTCTACAGCTCCCTGAGGAGAGGAAAGAAGAGGGAAGTGCTCTGCTCTGTTCCTCATGAACAGGTGTCAAGTTGGCAATGGCACAAAGCCATGTTAGGGGAAGACATTAGGAACAATTGCTTTACAATGACAGCAGTCAAACACCGATACAGACTTTGTAGAGAGGTAGTTGATGCTCCATGTCTGTCAGTGTTCAGAAGGCATTTGTACAATACCCTCAAAAATACGTTGTAACTTTCAATTAGCACTGAAGCACACAGACAGTTGGACAAAGTGGTTTTTGAAGGTCCCTTCCAACTGAACTCTTCTTCTATTCTATTAAAATATTACCTTTTATCTGGGAAAGCTGACCTTGATGTTGCATTGATGTGATGGCATTTAAGTGCATGATTTCATTTCTCACATGAACAAGGTAACTTTAAAAAACAGCGAAACAAGTAAACATGCACATACTTGTTCCCATGTTTGGCTTCGAAACCTTGAAGGCTACAACCAATAATCAAAGGGGAGTTCATAAAAGCTGCTTGTAGCATGGGAAACAGGAACAGAAGGAAAAGGAAAACATAAGGCTATCATTTTCGTATAGATGCATCATGCATACAACTGAGCATAGTCCTTCACCACAGGAAATATTCTTCCCAGCAGCATGATGACAAGCAATCATCCCTTAAGAAATATAGCATCAGTCAAGGTTTACATGAAGCAGCACATTATGAAGGGAGATAATTTTAGAATAGAAAGTGTACAGGGTAGTGCAGTAGAAAGCCAAAGCTGTGATAAGTAGAGGATGCGTGATAGATATGCATAGGTAGTAATGACAATCAATTAGCATACAATACAACATACATTCCACAATAGCTTACTTGCTATCTGATCAAATCTCAAAGACTGGAATCCTAAGGAACAAAAAGACATAAGCAATTGTGTGCGTATTTCCAGAAGAAAGAATGGGAACAAAATAATTTCAGATGAAGAAAAGAAGATGAGGAAGTTTTACACTGTAACAAGAGAAAAGATAGCAAAGTTAGCAGTATGTGGCAAACACTAAGGATAAAATCCAAATGTGTTTCAGTACAGCTATTATAAAATAAATTTATAATGAAGCATATGGAAAGAAAGTAAAACTATGTTCTGACTTAATGTACTTACATAGAACTATTTTCAAAGTACTGAGGCCATGCCTGATTTTATTCAAGATAAGATTTGATTAAGAAGTACAAGTAATTTTGCACTGTCCACCAAGGCAATGCTTGCATCTTAACTTCTAAAATTCATGACTACATACCACAGTGGAGAATGTAAAATTTTAGAGGATAAATATAAAGAAATAAAATCTATTACATATATATATATATATATATAAAATATGATAATATAATATATATAAAATATATAATATTATATATATATATTATAATCTGCCTCTCTGAACTCCTTACAACTTCAAAGAAAGCCTCATCTAGAAAAAGAAAGCTTTCTAATACTGACATAGAGAATGATTCCATAAACATTCACTATCATTCTTCAAGAAAAAACTTTTCCTTAAGTCTCAGTTCTGGCACGGCACGATTTACCATTTACTTCATATCCAAACTCTTACTTAACGGTTTGATTTGCAATGCTCCATAGCAATACTTAATCAAGATTTTACCTGCTTGTACAGCAAAATACGGTAGTGACAGTGCCTTTAACAGAGTACAGGCACTACAGGCACTATACAGCAATAGCAGATAGCAAAGAAGGAAAATTAGCTTCTTCTCTCTCCCCCCTTTCCCCAGTCCCCCCTTCTAACAATCAGAACAGCTGAAGAAGAGGTAATCTCTAGCCAAATAAATATTGCTTCTTCAGCTGCTAACCTTCGAATGAGGGTGAGGAGGGGTGGATCCTGGCTCCAGCACTTTTGATCACTTAAGTGCATTGCTTACACCTGAGCTCTCTGGGTTAGCAATGCCTTCTCACCAAGTCCTCAACCACTGGTTCAGGCCGTGACCTGGCAATTCTACTGCACTGCTTTAACTGTTTATAGGCTTTGCTGTTACAAGAACTTCATGCTCTTTAGAAGCAAAAAATATCAATGAATGTAATCTCACAGCATTTGCTTTGAGCAGAGAAAATTGACATTCAGTTTACATATAGGAAATTTCATGAAACCAAAGTTGAATCAAGGTTATATAAGGAAGTCAGCTGCTGGACTGTCACTGATTTCAAGACCAATCCCAAGCTGCAGTAAAGCTTACAAGTGTTGTTTCAGTGTCTAGATTCACAGTGCTAAGCATTATCTTCTTGAAAGGTTTTGGAGTGAATGATGTTTCTTTTGTAGTAAACTTTTTTATTTGGAGCGTTCGTTGCTAATCTTATAAGATAATTTCACTACTTATGTTGAGAAATGAGGCAGTAATTGCAGAGGAATTGAGAGAAAGCATTAGCAACATATGGGTTAAACTACTACAGTTCTAATTAGAGCAATTCCACAGTGTGGTTGCTCCAACAATTGGTTTTACTGCACAGGGACGTAATTCACTACATTTTTATCTACTTTGAATACAGTCTTATTCTGCAATTTTTTGATCATATAAACTGGGTTGGAATAATAGCAAGGGAGGCAGAGACCTCCCTTCATTCAAGTGATTTTATTCCATTCAGTGTAAAAAGGACTAATGTTATAAAAAAGTTCAAACATTTCTGAGTCCATTAAATTGCCTTTTCTGAATCTTTTCTGTCCAACAAAGAAATGCACTAATTTTCATGCTTCTGTTATATACACATTACATCCTGTATGTTATGAAAAGGTATGCATCACCTCTGTGTAAAATATGTTCCCCAAGATATTTCTGTAAATCTTCCTTGCTCTGAACTAGTATAAAATTAGGTGTTTTTTTTTTTTTTTAAATTGATTCAGTGTGGAAAAAATATTTTTTGCTGGTTTTATTTCTTTTTCCTTTTTATTTTTTTTTAATAGTTCTTACGATATGAATTACAAACCTGCACTACTTTTTTTCCTCTATCAAATTTTAGACAGATATACAGTAAAAAATTGTTTTCTAATTTAAACATTTCAAAGAAGATCCTTGCTGTGCATCCATAGGAAATCTCCTCTTCAATATATTTTCCAGAAATTTATCATAGAATCCTTGGAGGTGGAAGGGACCTCTAAAGGTCATCTAATTCAGTTCCCATGCAATGAACATCCACAGCTATGTCAGGTGTCTCAGAGCCTGGTTTAGTCTGACCTTGAATGTTTCCAGGGTCAGAGCGTCCACCACCTCTCTAGGCAACATGTGCCAGTGCCTCACCACAATTACTGTAAATTTTTTTCTTATATCCAGCTTAATTCTCCCCTCTTTTAGTTTTAAATCATTTTCCATCATTTTCCTATCACAGACATTGTTTAAGGGTCTGTCCCCCTCTTTCTTGTAGCTCCCATTTAGATACTGAGAGGCTGCTCTCAGGTCAACTGGGTGCCTTCTCTCAGGAGTGTCTGTCCTGTACTGAGGACTTCACATTTGGATGCAGTACTCCAGGTGAGGTCTACAAGTCCAAAATAAAGAGGCTGAATCATCTCCCTGAGCATTGGTGGCTCGTGTTAACCTTGCCACCTAATGGTATCCCAAGTGCTTTCTGGCAGTGCTGTGATCTTTCCATCTGAATGGCATCCTGTCCCTCAGGCATGTCCACTACAACACACAGCTTGGTGACACCTGCAAACATGCTGAGGAAAGATACTAAAGAGTGTCAGTGCCAGCACCAATACCTGGAAGACGCTACTTATCATTGATCTCCATCCTGACACTGAACTGCTGACCACCACCATCAGAGTCCAATCTTGCAGCCAGTGCCTCACCCACTGAACAGTCTACCCATCAAATCCATACCTTCTAATTTGGAGAGAAGGATGTTGTGGGATACCATGTCACAGGCCTTACTGAAGTCCAGCTAGATGACATTAGTGGCCCCTTCCCTTGTTCATTGATGCAGTTACGCCATCATGGAATGTCACTAGTTTGCTCAAGCAGGATTTGCCCTTTGTAAAAGCCATGCTGATTTTCCTGCATCAACTCTTTAGCTTTCATAAGCTTTAGCATATCTTCTAGGAGAATCTACTCCATGATCTTCCCCAGCACATAGGTGAGACTGACAAGTTGGTAGTTCCCTGGCTCATTCATAGTTTTCTAAAATTTGGAAATGCTGTTCTCACAAATAAAAGACATCAAAACAGCAGTTTATCCAGAGCTTTGATTGGCTTACAGTGATTTATTGTAGGCAATAATTCTGTATTCCTAGCAGTCACTGAGACAAAGCTGTGCTTAAGGCCTGTGCCCACACACTTTAGAATTAATGGAGAAGCAACATATGCTGCTTCTAACAGCTGGGTGTGCTTATCTTGCTTTCCTCCATAGAATTTTTGGATTTCATTTTTTTTTCTGTCAATTATGGAATGCAATAATAGAAAGAATGTTGAATGAAGAGAAATGTGAAGGAGGAAAAGCTAGAACCAGCTCAAGAAGATGCCCTCCTCTGATGGTAGAGATATTTTATTTTTATATTTTACACTGTCTCACCCAATCTCATCTTCACCTAAAATGATTCATATGATGTCAATAATATTAAAATTATTTGTGGATGCGTCTGCAAAATAAACCAGGCAACATTGAACAGACTTCAACCCCTTGCTGGTCAAGTCTTTCTCAGACCCAGACAAGAAAAAAAAGAAAAGACTTAACTGAACCAGTATGTTGCTAATATGTTCCTATAGTTTCCAGATCTGTGCTGCCTCTGGGATTCTTGAAAACTGCAGTGCACTAGGCTACAGAGATATGCCACCTCCCATTTGTACCTCATCTGGTTTCTCTTTCTTCCTGAAAGCACTGTAGTGCTTAAACTGTGCTCACAGCAGAAATTTATTTGTGACAGTTACTGTGCAGAGCTGTACAGCTCCACCACATTTTTAGGGAAATTAGTATGTTCTAAGTTCTTGGCAAAAAATAAAAATAAAAATAAAAGAGAATACTAAAAGTAAAACATAGTGCACTCGAGAATGGGTTTTATTAGCACTGCATTCAATTGCTGTAGAATATACAAATAGTTCTGAGCTACCGTTGAGGAGCATTCAATAGGATCCAAAAGGGAAGCAAAGATGGGTGTTTCAGCTGCTGAAAAGAGGCTGAGGGGCAGCTGCAGAAATGGAAATGTGTGCTATCCTTCATGCAGAGATTGCAGGTTTTGCAGCTGTTTAATTCTATATGGAACTTTCCTTTTCACATGAATATTCTTTTCTTCAGAGTATCTCCTCCAAGAGGGTTGGCAGCAACACATCACAGGATCCTGTCTAGTACTCTTCAGGGTTTAACTTGCTATTGCTTTTTAGTCAGATAAAGCTGTGAAATGACTGCTTATTGCTAGGGCACATTTTGATTGCTCTCCTGTCTTCCTTAGGCTATTCAAATGAAGGCAGCAGCTGCATTTTGCCATTCATAGTCAATTATGCCTGAAGGCTTGTTTTTCCTGTCAAAAGCTTGAACTGGTTATTGTATATGTATTTTGTTCTTTAATCGTATATCACTTATATTTTCATAACATTTTCCATCTAGTAATAACTAGTAATAAATTGATCCATTCTTCAGTCTTTAAACATTCATGTACCTGAGCACATTTTAACTAACTTCAACTGATCAGTTTATACCTTAAATTGCACATATATATATATATATATATGTTATAAGGCCATACGATAGCCATTAAACATCCAAAAAGCTTACAAGGGCCAAAGACAGAGCCAGTCATCCTTTAACTGTCACTGGAATAATCACATTTAAAAAGGAACAGAACTAGGTTGCTGCCTTCTGTTTAGTGTGTTTTCTGTCAGATAGTTGAAATGAAAACAAAAGAAAAATGGAAAAAAAAAAAAGAAATATAGGAAAGGAAATGAAATGTAAGGGAGGGAAGGAAAATAAGCACATGATCATAAAGGCAAAAAGTAGATAAAACTTAACATCTCTTTTTTTGGTAAGAATATTTATTTTTTTAATTCATTTTCATTCATATATTTTCTTTAAAACACTGACAATTATGAACATTGCTTATACATTCTAGACATCCTCAAGATAAATAACAATTGCTAAAGATACTATCTAAATATACTTACTTTCCTCTGATACACTGTCTTCATTTTCTCCAATGTTTTTTTCAAAGAATCAACGATATTTGTCTTGAAAAGAAATCTGCTTCTGCTATCACATCATTGCTTTCAGTTTCTATTACATTCCACTGCTGCACAATCCACAATGCTGGATTTCTAATATTGTTAATATCACTTCCATAGCAAAACACTAAGATATCATGAACTTGGCATTACGGTTTTATTCCTGGAGTAGGTCTAAGGAGGAGCTGATTTCGCAAGGCAGCTGTTATTAAAACATGGGTATACCTGATAACCAAAAGAAATTACTGATGGGATACAGATAACAATGTTCAAAGTATGTTCAAATGTTCAAATCAGTCCTGAAAAGAAGTTGTTCTTCTTCAAACCTTACCAAGAAGAATGAACTTTTTCTGGTAGTGGTGTTTAAAATCAGCCATCCTTAAAATGAAAATATCAGAGGTGTTCAGTTTCCAGGTAAGATAACGCTACTTGCTTTTTTCACATGTTGAATTCAATCTAATACACAGTAAACTCAATGCAGTGTAAACAGAGGGCAAAATATCTGCCTGTCCTTTTAGCTGCAAATATTAAAACTCCACAATGAACTGAATGAATTAATGAGAAT